CTCTCTCAAGCCCCTTGACATTGAGGTTATGAAGAGGCTCCACACCAAGGTCAATTTGATTCCAGTCATCGCCAAGGCCGATACATTGACCGACGAGGAGGTTGCTGTTTTCAAGAAGAGGGTAAGGATTGCTTGAGTGATGTAACATTGTATATCGGCTGACCAGATTATAGATTTTGGCCGATATTCACTATCACGACATTCAAATCTTTGAGGGACCTCGCTACGAGCTCGATGATGACGAAACAATTGCCGAGAACAACGAGATCATGTCAAAAGTCCCATTCGCCGTTGTTGGGTCCAACACCGAGTTCCAGAATGCCGACGGAAGACAGGTTCGTGGGCGCAAATACCCATGGGGAGTCATTGAGGTGGACAACGAGGAGCACTGCGACTTTGTCAAGCTCCGCCAAATGCTTATCCGCACTCACATGGAGGAGTTGAAGGAGCACACCAACAACTTCCTCTATGAGAACTACAGATCCGAGAAGCTTACCAGCCTCGGAGTTGCACAAGACCCATCCGTCTTCAAGGAAGTTAACCCTGCCGTCAAGCAGGAGGAGGAGCGGACTCTTCACGAACAGAAGCTTGCCAAGATGGAGGCTGAAATGAAGATGGTCTTCCAGCAGAAGGTTGCAGAGAAGGAGAGCAAACTCCGGCAAAGCGAAGACGAACTCTATGCGCGACACAGAGAAATGAAGGAGCAGCTGGAGAAGCAGAGAGCAGATCTAGAGGAGAAGAAGTCCAGAGTCGAGACTGGAAGGCCGTTGGAGGAGAAGAAGGGAAGGAAGGGTTTCTCATTACGTTAAGAGAGAGGCCGCTTTGCTTGAATTCGGGATTGCCAGGTTGGAAAGGGTGTTGGGGTCGATGGAAGGGGGGATCGAAACGACTAAACTGCTGCCACATTCATTACTCTGCTGGAACTAATTTTTCCTTTCTCTTTCATTTTTATCCAAACCACACACACACACACGTCTACAAAACTTTTACTTCCTTTTGTCTATTGTTGTTGATTATTCCTGTAACTTCATATCCTTGATTCGAAATTGTTTTTAGTTTTCTTTTTTCTTTTCTCTTTTCTCTTTTCTCTTTTCTTCATTCTTCATTCTATGGCTCGTGGCAGCGTCTTACTTCATTGTAGTCCATTCTTGCTTCATTTTTATCAATTTCGCGTATATCTTATTCCTTTGCATTTCCTTACGTCTCCGCTGCTGGTTGAGCATGGCTGCAGGTGACTCAATCGATTTTATGATAATTCTTGGTATTCCGTGATGATGGGCGACTTTTGGCGGAGACGAGCGCATCGGCGTACGGGAATGGAACTTCAGGGTGTAATGCTGCGCTTGTCATTTGCCTAGGGGCTTGCGGATATTTGGTGTGGGGGTGGCCCTTGTCATGGAGGGGAGAGGTTAATATGCTTTCGTTTGTGCATTGCTGGGATTTGTTTTCTAATACTTGTTTCCTTTTTGTTCGACTTTGACTTCACACCACACAGGACTTTTATTTACTACTATACCCCAAGTGTTTCGTCTTGTACTCTACCTCTTATCTGGTGAACGTAGGCAGGCGCATGTGATACTTGTTTTGCGGAGACCCAAACATGCACCCTGTCCAAGCATGCCCCGTGCCTGTACCTGCTGTCGACGGCAGTCGTCTGGTACAGCGCGGGCGCCGGCGAATCGATGTATATCTCGATTGTTTCAGCGCCGTTTCCTTCGTATACCCTTGGACTGCACACTGGCTGACTGACAGACTGCCACGGGTCTTTGCCTATGATTCATCCTCGACCGATATCGAAGTGAGTAGTTGGCTCACGCTGCAGTCGATAATAATTAACCCTGTGTATGTACAAAGGGTATCGTCCGCCCACCTTGTCAATGTTCTCACTCTATTTTGCTCTGCTCTACAAGCTTTATCTATCGGTCCCCTGGATGGCATAGCATTGCCGCCTGGAAACAGCGCAACGCCCGCCAGGCCTTGGCCGCTGGCGTTGTTTCGCTCAGCCCTGCTGTCGCGGTGCCGCGGCCTAGAGCGGCCACATGATATGGCAGTTTCGTCATCCGGCCACTTTGGTCGGCCGGCACGCACGCACGCAAGCAGCATCTCGCTCCTCTAGCAGCAGCCGCTTGTGAAAACCAGATCTACTCTTTACCGCCGCAGCACCACTTATCCAGCCAGCCTGCCTGCCTGCTTGCCTGCTTTGGCTGCTGCCCTCCCCCACCCAAGTCCAGTCTGCCCTGCCCCCCCCAAGTCTACGTGCGGCCCTATTTATTCCCCCGACTGCCACCGACCTCACCACCTTTCCCGCCCACTGCATCTCCTCGCATTTCCCCATCACCACCTTACCCGACCAGACAGTGACCTGTGAGTAGCCCCGAGCCCCACCCCCAATCATGAGTGCGTTCGTCTGTGATTGTGCCGTTCAGCTGCCGGTGGACGAGTTTGTGCAAGGTGGTCTGTTGAGCTGGGCTGATTCCAGCAGTATCTATCGCATTCGATCTGCTCCAACGCCAGAAGAAAAAGGTACTGCTGCTCAACCCCTCCTGCCCTTGTCACTCGACTTAGCTTCAACTCCTCTGCCCCCTCCCCCATTCCATTCCTCGCTCTTTGTGCATTCATCCCCCGCAAGAATCCCCTCTACCCACGCAAGGCAAGCGAGAACGGGCCAAATTCCCTTGGCTTTTCCCAACAAACAAACGCACTTCCGCAGCACGCAAGACTGAAAGCTAACAGTGCTCTGAATTCAGGACAACAGAGGCCTGATCCACATCTCCCAAATTTGAACTCTGGTGTCTCAAAAGACCACGAATAATACAACAAAATGGCTCCGCCAGCAGCACCCCACACGCAAAACACTCTAACCGATCGGTTATTGAACTTGGTCAAGACTCTGCAGTTCAGTTGGTTTATGGGGTATGTCTATCATTCATTCTTTTTGTTTTGTTGTCCTTTGCCCTGGCTTGAGCCTGTGTTTTCCCGATTATCACATGTTTTTCGGGAATTTGTCGAACTTGTTATCGCGGGGAAGCGGGGCATACAAGAGGGGCGGTTTCATGGCGGGGAAGTGGCAGCCAAAGTCCGCCTCGTTGCCTTTCGTTGTGAAGCCTCGGGTAACCTATTGAGCCGCGACATCATTATTGTTATTCGATGAGACAATTGCTAACGTTTACAATGATATCGCTCTAGCCACTTGACACTTCTATTATGCACAATCCGCTACTCGATATCGGTTGTTAGGTTCAACTCGACCTCGACCATTGCACAATTCAGCTACAGGCTTGCATTCTTGAGCGCAGCAGTGACATACGGCATTGTTGTTTTCAAGGCTTATCGTGGGAAGCTTGCAAGAGGCGGACAGGGATCTCCCCAACAACAGGCGCTTGCACTGCTCGGAGATGAGAATGTGCAATATTTGGGTACGTTTCACAAGCTTCTGAAAACGTGCACGTGACCCAGTAAACATGCTAACCTTCTTGTGGCGAATAGTGATGGCTTTCATTTGGCTCTACTCCAAGCCAATCTGGTTCGCACTTTGGCCATTCACCGTCTACTCGACTTTCCACTTCCTTACATACCTCCGCACCAATGTTATCCCAACATTTATCCCAGCCACCATCACTGCTCCAGGCCCCACTGCCGGATCACCCCGCCCATCGGTCGGAGTTGTCACCCAACACCCCATCTCCGAGGCCATCTCCCGCTTTGTCAAGCAAAACTATGACACCTCCATGCACTTGGTTTCCAACTTGGAGATCTTCCTCTTTGTCCGTCTCTTGCTCGGAGCCGTCGTCTTTGCCAACTCATGGGTCCTTTTACTCGCATACGCCACCTTTTTGAGGGTCAGATATACCCAGAGCCAGTTTGTCAGACAGGCCTTTACCAGCCTTGACAAGAAGGGTGATGCATTGGTCAACGATGCAAGAGTTCCAGAGCAGGTTAGAAGTGCATGGATCGTTGGCAAGGACATCTTGAAGAAGGTGGCCGATGCCACTGAGTTCGGAAAGCCCGCACCATCCAGTGTCCCAAGGAAGGCACAGTAAAGAGAGAATTTTCAACTTCTTTTCCCGCATGCGCTTGTGTGAAAGTACGGAGACGCTGACCACGACGGGCCAGGCGTGTTTGTAGAGAGGGAGGAGTAGAAGGGCGGGGGGAGGGAAAGCGATAGGTGTTATGTGTGTGTTTTCTTTCTTGAGAGAAGGGGAGAGGGAGGAGAAGGATTGCATGTAAAACTTTTAGGCTTTGGAAGAGGGACCTTTTTATAATGACAGCTTTGCTGAAGTACAAATTCAATAATTTTTTTCTTTTCGCTTTAATTTTCATTCATGTTCATTGTATATTCATTGCTGGTGGTTTTTGCTGTTGTGGCTATGTTATTTTTTACCTTTTATCTCATTAGTGGTGATTGTCTAGTCTGGGCACGTGCACGAGAACAAGTAGTAAGTTTAAATACATGTACAGCCTTCTGACGGATTATATCGATTTCTCTTGACGAATACCTAAGCCCTTGCTAGTCTCATACCAGCCCTTGCGACGAGAAACCTCAAAGCTTGAGCATCTGACATACCGACCCTCTCACCGCGCAGAACATGGATCAAGAAACCGATTCGAATAGCATCATCCAAATCCCCATGCCATCTCGCCTCCAATTTCTTTTTTTTTCGTGGGGATGTAACGTTAGAAAAATCCACCTACGTCATCAAAATGATCGTCATGGATGCGCATAATTGAACGTTGGCTCTACTCTAGATATGATCATCATCCATGCCTTCCGTGGAAACTTTAAAGTAGACATTCATTCGCCAATGACCCGTGGGTGGTATCTAAGGCCATGGCCATGGTTTCTTTGTAACGTCGGTGTTGCGCTTGAGCTTGGGAGGATCTACCATCAAGAGTCTGGATCTAGAGTATACAAAGTTAGGAAGGATATGGTGATGTGATGTGATGTGGATTGTGTGAGTGGATGGTAGGGCAGTTTAGACATGATTGGGTATAGATAAACTGTCGAGGTGTCCGAGTGGTTAAGGAGTGTGACTTGAAATCACATGGGATTTCCCGCGTAGGTTCAAACCCTGCCCTCGACGATATTATTTTTTTTTTATGTTTTTTTTTTGTTTTTTGCAGATGGAGGTGGTGGGTTGCTTTGATCTATTTTAGATTTTAGGGAAAAGTCAAGCTTAAGTATGGTATGTACTTTCCTTACTCAACGTTGTTCGTTGCAAACCATCTACCAGCTACCTAAGATAGGTTTAGTTGTTTAAACTTGATTGTTGTACTTCTGCATGCACATATTGATGGATGGATGTAGAGTTTGTGATTAGTGTTTGTGATTTGGTGAGCTGCGTGACCTTCTTTGTATTTACGTATACGGTTCACGTGGGTATATCAATAATTATGTAATTACTTACGTATGTATATATAAGGGCGTATTCTGTTGTAGCTATAGCATTTCTAGAGTTGTATTTAATTTGCATACCTTCCGTTATAATCTTCAACCAATTTTCTGGTTTTGTGTTGTTGCCAGGCACGAGAGTAAAAATTACCGGGCTGCAGCTGGTGTATGTACATATATACATGGAATGGAAAAAAATTGATATCTATTTAATTTAACTTTAAAACAAATTGATAAACACAAAAACAAAAATAAAATATTAAACCCTCCCCTCTCACTTCCGCCCTACCAGCTCACCAAATCACCCCGGCCTCCTTCCACACCTCACCCACCTCCCCCTGCCCCCACCAATCCCGCCCTTCCCACCACCCCCCTCAACCCTCTTCCACAGCCCCAAACAAATCTCCCTCTCCCTCTCAAGCCCCTCGTACAGCTCCTCACACACCTCCAATATCTCCCCAACACGATCATCATCCCTGAGCACCGCAGCCTCGAGCATCGCGCGAAGCAGCCATTGCCTAGGCCTCATGAGCCGCGTGGGGTGCGTGAGGAGGGTGTGGAGGAGTGTTAGTGCTGTTGTGAGGGGGTCTGATAGTGAAGTGGAGGAAGAAGGGGGAGGGGGAGGGGAGTCAGGGGATGGGAGAGGCGGGGGGAGGGGGTAGAGGTAGCTGTTGAGGTGGACGAGGATCATGAGGGAGTAGGTTGTTCCGTCTGGGCCGGTTTGGGGGTTGAGGGTGGAGGAGGAGGTGAGGGTGGAGAGGGAGCGGGGGAGGAGGTGCGGTGGGGTGGTGTTGTTGTTGTTGTTGTTGTTTCTGGATGAGGAGGGGGGAGGATGGGACGTGCGTGTAGCTCGCTTCTCGAGCTCGCTGAGCTCGTCGAAAAGGTACTCTGCGAAGCGGCGCTTGAGGTCGATTTCGCGCGCGACCTCGAGGTAGGGCTGTTTTTGGGCGCGGGGGAGGGTGAGGTAGGGGGAGAGGGGGAGCGGGGGTGGGGTTGAGGTTGAGGTGTCGCCACTGTTACTACCACTATTGCCCGAGATGCCAATGTCGAGGGTGTGTGCGAGAGGAGGGAGGATTGAGCATCCCTCGAGCATGGCGTTGAAGACGTCTGCTGTGGGCGTGATTCCGGACTCGGCGAGGAGGTTGTAGCAGTCCCAGGCTTGCTTGAGGTGGCCTTGCCGCGCGTGGAGGGAGGTGATTGCCGTGATTGGGATGGCCATTGCGTTGAGCGCGAGTTTGGTGGGTTTGGAGGAGGCGGTGCTGTTGCTGCTGCTGGTACTGCTTTCCCCTGCACCACTCGCACTTCCACTCCCGCTGCGGCCGAGGAGCATGTCGAGATCTTTTCGGAGGGCGGATTCGAGGCCAGAGACCCTGTTGTTGCCCTTGACGCACCCGACGATGGCTTTGACGAGGGACTTTGCGCCGGCGCCGCCGAGGGCACGCATCATGATCCGCACGACCGCAAACGCCTTTCGGGGCTCGTTGACGCTCGGGTCGAGGTACATCTCCACCAATGCCGCATAGTGGTGGTGCTGGAAGGTGATTCCCCTTCTAGCCATGACTCGTAGAACATCTGTTGCCAAGGAGGGGATAGCATATCGAGATGCCACGAGGAGGATCTCTTCGAGCAAGCCATCATCTGGGGGGAATATCGAGGATACATAAACATGTCTCCACGCCCAGAGCGTCGCATCGCGATACATCCCCCTCGCCGCAAACGTGAGGAGGGAGTACCACGTCTTCCTCGCCAGCGTCGTAGACAGGGAATCATGCGCCATCTTTGCGAGCCGAAACGCCTCCTCGACCTCCCCCTTCTCCGCAAGGCTCGTAATCAAGTCGTCCCAGACCTCCTGCTGAATCTGCGAGGTATTGACATTTGTGGTGGTAGGCGCGAGAAGTGGGAGGAGTTTGCGTTCGAATGTTTCGAGTGCGAGCTCGAATTGGTGGTCCTTGAGGAGCCCACGAATCACCCACCCCCAGCCCAGCGGCGTGACCTCGAACCAGCGGTCCTTCATCTCCCGCAGGATGAGCGCGCGCTTGAGGTAGTCTGGGGAGGTGGAGAGGAGGCGGAGGAGGTTGTGGTAGATGAGGGTTGTTGGGCGGAGGTTGCGGGATTTCATCTCGGCGAAGAGCGCGAAGGCGAGCTCTTGCATGAGGCAGCCGGGGAAGTGGGCGCATGCTTCGATGAGGAGAGAGTAGGTCTCCGTGTCTGGAGTTGGAGTTGGGGTTGGGGTTGAGGATGGAGTTTCAGGCGGTGATGCTCCTTGGAGGCCGCCATTGGTGGTGACGGCAGTCGCAATTGGCTGGGAGAATATCTTTTGGGCGTGCTGAAAGACGGAGGGGTACCGGCGGTTCTCGATGGCCGAGACGACGTCCTTGAGGAGGAGTTTGTTTTTGGCCGAGAGCGGCGTGAGGATGGCGATTGCTGGCTCGGCGGGAGGAGGTGCCGGGGCCTCCTTCTTGCTGCCATTACTGCTGCTGCTGCTGCTGCTGGGGTTCTTCCATCGCGGGGGCTCGGCCTCCTGTGCGGCGGTGTGCAGACATCGCCATCTGCGCAGGCTGCGGAGCGTGGTCGCGGGCCCGTTGCTGCGGAGGGGCGTCATGTCGCGGTGGCCGCCATGGATGGAGGGGCCCTGCGCGCTGCTGGTGGGGTGGATCCACGGGTCACCAGGGTGCGCGCGCTGGGATAAGATGAGATGGAGAGATAAGATTAGATAAGCGAGGGGGTGGCACTCGGGCTGTCAATCATATGGAACTCGCGAGACTTAAAGACTAAAATTATACATGAATAAAAGGCAAAAAACTACAATTCATCATCGCCGGTCCTCGCGCCGCCGCCGCCATGCCTCCACCACCCCGGAGCGACCCTTGGGTAGTATTTTGTAAACGCCTCGAGCGCCATCTCGTCCGAGAACCGCATGTGCTCCATGCCCTCAAACGTATCCCAATGAATCGCCCCCTTCTTGTCCAGCCTCTGCAGCCCGATCCAGTCCTCCTTGTACAGCCGAGTGTCGCGCAGCCCCACCACCTCCACCGGGTCCTCAGGCTTCGTGTCGTAAAACCAAGCCGTCGACGGCGGAAACACAGTCGTGTCGTTGCCAAACATGTACATCACGAACCCCTTGAGCTGCGCCAGACGCTCTGCGTACGCCGGGTTCCTCTCGTGGTCGCGCTCGTTGTTGATGCCGGCCAGCCAGCCCGAGTTCTCGAGATAGCTGTCCAGGTCGGCCGGGTCGCGGAAGTACTGCGCGGGCACGACGTTGGCCTGCGTCCACGGCGCCCACTTGTTGCGGCTGAGCAGCGTGTTTGTCGTCTTGCACAGCCAGTCGGTGGGGCCGCACGCCGCCAGGAACTTTGAGATGCCAAAGTGCTGCGAGCCGAACGTCATGAGCGTGTGCACGGGCGGCAGCGAGTCGCACGTCTGCACCAGCCCGCGCAGAAACTGGCCGCCCTGGGAGAGGCCGAGCAGGTTGACGCCGCGGCTGAAGGGCGGGGGCAGGCTGGCGATCTGGTCGCAGACGGTCATCAGCTGGCTCGAGACCTGGCCGTGGAAGGTTGCCGCGCGGTCGCTGGGGAGCTCGATGATGTGCACCGGCGCAGAGTGGACCTTCTGGTAGACCGCGGCCAGGCTCGCGAGGCCTTCGGAGGTGTTGATGTCGCCGAGGCCGTGCCAGATGACGAGCGGGAGCGAGACTGTTCTCGTCGGCGAGGGCGTGGCGAGCGGGAGGCTCGCCAGGAGCAGTGCCGCTGCAGCGCCGGATAGATGCATTTTGGAGATTTAGATTTTTATAGCAGAAGTGTAATAGTTGTAGATGGATGTTTCTGTCAAAGCTTCAAGCTCCAAGCTGTCATGAAGCTCCCCGGGTGTTGTTGTTGTTGTTGTTGTTGCTGCCAGCCCCCCCCCTGGCAGCGGCAACGTACGGGGGCGGCCCGTCATCGCACGGACGGCAGGAGGTGGCCATGACTACATGCATAATAATTCTGCATAACCCCCCCCCCTCCGAAGTCTCCACAAGCCCTCGCCAATCGTCAATGTGACACTCCCCTACCCCCCCGCGCCCAATGATGGACGAGGACAACAGCTACAGCATGACGAGCCACCACCTCGGATACACCTACACGCCCACGATTTACAAGCCCTACCTCCTGTTTGCCCCCCCCCAGGTGCACAGTAACAACAACAACAACAACAACAGCAGCAGCAATGGCGGAGGAGACAGTGCAGCGGCCTCGGCCAGCCCCGCCGGAGGCCCGCAGTCATCGTCGTCCCCGCAGCAGCAGCAGCAACAGCAGGCCTCGGGCCGCACCCTCGCAACATGCCCCGTCTGTGCAACGGAGCTTCACACATCCAACCCGGCCCGCTCAATCAGCGCCCACATCCGCCGGCGCCGCGCACAGGGCGACGAGGCCCACGAGGCCTGGTTCCTCAAGAACCGCAAGCGTGTGAGGGGCCTTGCGGGCGAGGAGCGGCGGCTACGAGAGCGCGAGCTCAACAGGCTGCGTGTGCGGCACTGGCGAGAAAAGGGCGGGAGCAGTGGCGCAGGAGGAGGGGGCACGCCCAAGCGGAAGAGAGTGGATACCGACGACACAGCTGGGGATGCAGGCGATGACAGCGTCTGCCGTGACGATGGGGATGATGACGGGGAAGATGACGACGACGGGGAGGAGCCAGAGATGCAGGATATGAGCACCA